CGCGGAAAAAGGCCAAAAGTTCTCCCCCCCCCCCCCCCCCTGCACCCAAGGGAGAAGTTCTCCATCCACACACCCAGTGGCGCCCCTCCTCAAGCAGCACCCCCTAGCTTCGGCCCTGTGTATACCTGTACCCCATATACTGGTGAGGCTTCATAATGTGTAGATGTAGTTCTTAGCGAAAGCCCAAGGTGCCTGTGGGTCTCTGGCTATGAAAGGGTTAAGTGTGGTAATCAGGGCTAATCTAAATTGGATGTGACCATACCCAGATTATGTAATTAAGGGTCATTCAGGAGAGACAGGCTGGGGGGGGGGGATCAGGTGATCTCTGTCCAGGAAAGGTGCAGAGGGAGAGGGAGGTGTGCAGGCGGAGGCAGCGGCAAAGACCTGTACAGTAGAGGGAGGACAATATTTAGTAACTGAGCGACGCCGTCGTCCTTCCTCTGTGCAGAGCCATTACAGCAGCATTTTCATATCCTCTTGGAGGATGGTTAATAAAAGAGTTTATTATGTAGTCTCCAGGCTGCAGTCCTCTTTCATTCCCTCTATCCATTGTCCATCAATAATCTCTAGCTCTCTCTCCCTCTCCAGGGGATTTCCAGACCTCTGTCTGCGTCACCCCCCTTCTAGTCTCACCCAGCTGTCTCTCCTCCTCTCTGACCCCAGATGTCATGAGCCTTCTCCTCTACAAAGCCACAGTCCCTGCCCCTCCTTTTATTAACTCTTTCCTAAACTGCCTCATTTAGTAACTCTTCACTAAGACGGTCTTACTGAGGATTTTAAAATTCTATAATGGGAATGCAATGCATGTACAGTATGCACAACGTTTGCTTTACTGCATGTAAATTTTAATAAGTCTGCACCCCACCACCTGGTATTTTTTGTCCTACAGATCAAAACATGTGATAGATGGCCATACACCAGGAGAATATAATTTAAAAAAATTCATTTTCGGAATGTTCGTTCTATTTTTCAGTAGTTAAAGGGTTTCTAAACCCTCCAGTTTTTTTTGTCTATATCTACTGCTAGCAAGCAGTAGATATAGGCAAAAAGTAAAAAAAAACAACAAAAAACGCTTTAACAGCAGTTAAAGCTGCGCGCTCCAGTCCGAAAAAACAAAACTGCTTGGGCGGCCGCAAAGCATCTTGGGGCGGGCGCATGCGCAGTTCGGATTTTTGGATGGGAGACGAGCAGAGACGCTAGGTAAGTCTATGAACGCGCGCGCCCGCATGCAGACACCGTGGGATCAGAAGTGCCTGCAAGCAGAGAGGAGTCAGCGCTGGATCGGAGAGCCGCCGCACCGCTGAAAGGACAGATGAAAACATCAGGAAAGAAGAGGAAGATCGGATTAAGAGACATCATTAAAGGTAAGTGCTAACATTAACATTGGGGGGAGGGAATTTTTTTTTGCCTTTAACTTCACTTTAATGTGGTCAAATCAACGGTTTGAACCGCACAGATGAAAAACACAGAAGGAAGAGGATACAAAAAAATTATCGAGCATACGAAATTTTAACAATGAATGGCCAGCACAGTGGCATAGTGCTTAGCACTTCGGCCTTGCAGCACAGGGGGGTCCCTGGTTCTATCTATATGGAGTTTGCATGTTCTGCCTTGCTTGCTTGGGTTTCCTCCGGGTAATTCGTTTTCCCCCCACACTCCAAAGACATGCTGTAAGGCTCCTGTCTAAATCGGCCCTGTATGAGTGTGAGATAGAGACCTCAGATTGTAAGCTCCTTGAGGGCAGGGACTGATGAATGTGCACTATGTAAAGCGCTGTGTAAACTGGTGGCGCTATATAAATACCGGTAATAAATAAATGAGGTTTTCCTTTGATGAACTCCATTCATTTCCAAAATCAAATGTTCAAACCAAATGAAATTTCGAATGACATGTGACATCAAATGTTCTGGCACAATTTTGTGCATGAATGAAAATGTACCAGTATGTGAAAGAAATGGCACCGCTCCTTCCAGGGGTTTCAGAATGCCCCGTGCAGAGAGATATCGGGTGCTAGTCTATGGAGCTTGTCCTTGCTCCCAACATACTCTAAATCCCACACAGCCATCCTCCAATACCATGACGCCAATAAAACT